CTACCATATGAGAAAACACACTTGCAAGGTTAAAAGGTGATACTTTCACTCCTCCTGCACTTTATTTGAAAGAGCTCAGAGAGGTTCAGTGTGAACTGTGTGCTATGACAGTGAGGTCTGAGTATAGACTGACTTGTTGTCTTATTTCCTGACTAAGGCCTAGTTTTAAGTTTGTAGATGTATTGAATTAGTGTAAAATCAATTGTAACTTAATATCTCACACCCCCTCAATTTCTACATTTCTCTCTCTCAGTTCCTCATACCTGGTCAGTAAGAAAGGAAGGTTTGTACGACCCATCTGCATTGGCATTTCCACTTCCTCTTAGAGACTTCATATGAGACACGGCCATTCGTAGGATGGTGAGTTTGTCAGGTTTTCGTGCTAGTGCACTGCACGTGGGCACCATGTCCGACAATTCTGTGATGTAGGCAGTCATCTTGTTCCGCCTCCGCCTCTCAATCTCACTGTGGTTCTCCCTGGAGTGAGGAAGCGAGGGAGGGAGGCAGAAGTGGAGAGGATAGGAGGGATCGAGATGGGGGAAACAGACGGGTAGGTGGAAAACATGGAGTACAGTTTAGAGTTAATGCTGCAATGTAAGTATGCCAATCGGGAAGAGTGGAAATGAGAGAGGGTGAGAAAAATAATAGATTTAAAAAAACAATAAAGTGTAGCCAATGATCTATAAAAATGATCACGAGAAAGCAAGAGAATCTGGTCTTTAAAGGCCAGTTGGTGTGACGAGAGAGAGCAGGTGCAGAAAGAGAAAGACCCTTCAGGTGTCCTGAGAGGGAGGAGACAAAAGAGACAGAGAAGGAGTCACACACAGCACTGGGGTTAGTGACACATACAACAGTGGTGGACTGAGAGAGACAACCAGCTTTCTTGGGCAAAGAGGCATAATATTCTGACAAGCACCAAAACAGACGTGTAGTGTAGCGAAATATACCAGTATTTTTTTTTTTGCTGTCAAAACAACATTGTGCTGGGGTCCCAGCAGGGCATGGTAGTATTTGAGAGCATTCAATATTTATATGAATACAAGCAGCAAAGGAAGCCTTCCACAGTGGTACAGGCCATACCTGGCTAGTTTTTCCTTATCTGCAAAACTGTGATCGTCTTCCAAAAACCTGAAAATGAGACCAATTCACTAAAGCCCAGAAATCACAACTAAATAAAAAAGTGTAAGTATAAAAAAAAAATGCAGAGAGGAGAGAGAAAGCAGCATTGGGGTATCCTTGCAATCAATAAAATTGCTCTCATACACCCCCCCACCCCCCCTGAACACTTATTTCTTCTGATTCATCCCCCTACCTCGCAAAGCGCTCTTTGTCATTGTTAGAGCCTCCTCCGTCATCATCACACCTGAGGACAACAGAGGAAGCATTGCTTATTATGTCAGCATCCTTGGCAATTTCAACATTTAAAGTAACACCTCAGCTAACTTTATGACACTAAATACTGAAACTAACCTGAACAACTTGCTTCCGTCATCATCATCAAAGTCTGACCTGTAAGAAGAAGAGAGCCGTGTGAATAACTTCACACTTAAGCATTCTCGCAAAAATGTTGACCGCATATCGCAAAACAAAAGTACACCAGTCAGCAAATACACACATGATACTAACTTATCAGCACAAACTGTACCACTAACAGACTTACGCAGCTCTTCTTTTGCTGGTCCCTTTGGGTACAACAGCCCCTCCACTTCCTTGGGTCCCACTTGCCCCCATACCCAGATTTGGGTCTGGTAACTCTATAAATAACACACAGGCAGAGAGAGAGAGAGAGGTAATGTGGACGGGGATAACAGGTGATTTCGCATTGTGCCTCAAGAAACTAAACCCCCACTGCAGCCAAAACTGAAAAGGCGAAGTTAGCACAACTTTATACTAAGGTTTAAAAACTTTTCTCGAGCAATGTTGTGGATTGAAGAGGATAACTTGAATGTGTAAAGCATGCACTAAAAACAAATTACATGTGAACTGAACAGCTAAGAAGTGAACTGAAATGTGTTCACCTTGGCTCACTTAGCATTATAAAACACAAGACAGTCGAGCTGGCCGGCATGCCAGGCGACTATCACTTATGCAATTGCCAGCTAGCCGTGCTCGCTGTGGGCATTAGCTCTGCTCCTTAGCTAACTTAGCTGGTGCTGTCACGCTACCTTCAGCAAAGTGTCCGCTTCAACTGTGCATTAGAAACACTCACAGTTACATAGTATCGTTCAATTACACTATCTAAATGCATTTGACTGCACTTTACCTGGGTTTGAAGAGGACATATCCGTGTGGAATAACATAAACAAACAAATTCGGCAGCGGAAAAAAAAAACAAAAAACCTCAAAACCTCCACCCCTCCCCCTTGCTAGCGGGCTGGAGGCTAACAAGTGCCTCGCTGGTTTCCTCGCGTCCGCGCCTTTATTTTGCGCCGTTAACGCCCAACACCATGACTAACGCGGTTCAAGAGCGACCCGACGAACACACACAAGACAAAATAAGAGTTTAACCTCGTCCTACACTCCCCCCCCCACTTTCCTGTCACCTCCCGGTTTAAACCCCCTTTCTGTTTAAGATGGCGTTTCAGGCAGGCGAAGCGCGAGCTGTCTGCTGTGTTTTCTTTTCTGCTCTCTATTGGCTGTCACTTCAGCCAGATACAAATGACGTCATATGTTGGGAAATCCATGTTTTGCTCCGCCCAGCTGGCGGTGGAGGGACGTGAAGGTATGTAAATCTTTAACACTTCAGTTCGGGGAGGGGGGGGAAACAAAAGTGAATGTTATCCACATTTAACATGCTGTGATAGACCCTGACTATATGTTGGTTTAACATTACATTTTACCCCTGTTATGCTTAAGTTGTATAAAGGTGGGCTGAAACCCAGAGATGAAGTTCATTTGCTTCAGCAACCTTCTGTACAAATAAATACAAACTTGAGGTATTTGTACTTTATAATTTCGTCTCAAACTACCTTTAAGTTTACTCCACTCCATTTAAAAGGGAATAATCGTTTCTTTTTTTTCCACAGTGCTGTTTCACAACATTTTTATACTACCAAATTGTTATAAAATGTAAACAATTTTATTTAGTCTACACAACAGGATACTTCATAAAATCATTTATCTTTTGAATCCGTAAAGTGCGAGGTTACCTTATCCTTAAATGAAAATGCAAAGTACTGAAATCTATGAAGGTTTGATAATGTGAAGTATATGAATAACAATGCAGGTTCCACAATTAATTACTTCCCCCATGAATACATTTATAGAATATAAAAGGGAAACTGCTTTGAAAACCATGTGTCACAAGTTTTGAGATTTCGGATTTAAACTTCCACGATAAACTGAATTTTAGGTTTTACTTTAAAGGAGTGACAGTGCTGTTTACTGAGCTCATGAAAAGTCGACATTTCTCAAAAGACATGTACGCCACAAGTGTATGATGATCTAATAGAATATGATACACTGCTGTAGATTTAACAACCCAACATTATATAAACTAGCTAAATAAAAGCAACTACAGCAGTAAAATGCAACATACACACTAAAGCAGCAATATCAAATTCATGTTTAATTTATAAACTTAATATAGTGCATATTATGTTTGCAGCCATGATGCATGAATAAATAAAAAGTACCTTGAAATGCTTTCATTGTGATTCATGATCTTTGCATTTATTAATAATAACAATACTTAGTTATTGAACGAAAAATACAAAAAAGTAATATAACACTGTAATTAGGACACAGCTGGTTCTTCTGTATCGCTGGGGAGGATGAGGATGCTGGTTGGTCTGGGTTAGTAAAAAACAATATGGTGGTGGAATGAGGAGTTTGAGAGGAAGGTGATTGGTAAAGGAGAGAGGTCAGTGATGGATTGTACAAAGGAGGGAGGTGATACTAGTCTCTGATGTGAGGTGGAGACAGGACAGAAAAAGAGAGGACATAAAGACAGGAGCGAGAGGGAGCTTCCCATACATTACAGATAAGGCACTTGACATACAAAAAAACATAAAGCATGAAGACAAAAAAGCAACACTCATTTAATGAACTCCTCCGGAATCTCAGAGCTCAAACACTGACTGCTAAAAAGGCATTATCTTATTCCTCTTCAAATAGAATACCTGTAAACCCGTTTCATACACAGAATCATTCTTAAAATCATTCACTTAGATCAAAAGTTATATTCTAGGTTAAAAAAAAAAAACATTACCCAGGATACAAGGCAGTGAATTGGAGATATCTGGTTCATGTTTGTAAAATCTGGAAATGGTTCATCCGTCACATTCCATTCACCTTAGTGAAACTACTGTGTTCCCCCAAAGAAGCCCACCGTCGCTATGATTTTTACTGAGTCATCAGTTTCCACGGGGGGAGGCATCAACAGTGTGACTCAGCTGGATCAAAATGCTTCAAACAAACCAGAGGAAGAAAACATTCAGCTCCGTCGAAAACTAGAGGGAAGCTGAGATTTATATTGCAGGGTAACATTTCAGATTCCTGAAAGCAAGATGATTGAACACTTAAGAGAGATGTCTCTTTTGGAAGCAGGAAGAGTAGGTACTAAGCAATATTGGATGAAGAAAAGAACAGAAATCAAAAGTAAGATTTTGCTTTCAGTATATCTACAAAAGTGACACCAAAGTTGGCCATTTGACCTCACAAGGCAGAAAAATAAATGGCACAAGCGCCATTGGAGAGCAAAAGCACGCAGTCCTACTGCACACTCTTGTAAGAGAAACTCTTTGTGCAAAGACGGTGCAATAGCTTAACATTTACGTAATTGCATAGACAAAAAAATAAGGGAAATGAATGCCCACTTTCACAACGCAAAACCAACTTTCATCTTATTTTGTTCTTTCAGTATAAAACAAAACAGGGAACATAAAGCAACACAAGATCAAAGCAGACTGCTTTGAAATGGCATTTTATCAGCCAATAGCTGGCTCTAAGGCACACTGAACAAGGAAAGCTGTAGAAGAAGAAGCAGCATCACCCCCCACCACCCTGCCTCTCTCCCTCCTTCCCATCACAGTTCTCCCTCCATTTCCTCCTGTCTCTTTGAAAATTTGGAACTGACTTCCCACACTGACAGCGACACATGATTAAGCAGAACAGTCGTGCCACTGAATGTAGTGTCTATCATTTTCTGCTGGATCTGTGTGCCCTCTAAAAGTACGTTTGTGAGAGTGTTTTTGTGTTGTGCAGAAGTAACAGTGTCACATTTTATCAACATACCTGCTGTTCTGTGTTTTAGGGAATGACATGCCCCCCCCCCCAACCCACACACTGTCTTCTTCTTTTCCCTCCCTCCTGCTCCCCTACAGAGGGAAATGAGTCCTTTATCACAATCCTGCGTCCTGACGTTGTTTTGCTTTCACTCTGTCTTGCTGTGATTGTTGTTGTGGACTGTGTGACCATTCTGCACTGGTCCATTTTTCTTTGTGTCCTTTTTAACCCCCTCCTCGTCTTCCTCCTCTCCCGATTCATCCGTTTCATCTTTGTCACTCCTTTCATCGTCCACTTTTTCCTGGAGAAAAAAACCCCCCCAAAAAAACATGTCATTAATCAAGGAGACCCCCTGACTCAAAATGTTCTCGAGGTCTGGATCCTGTCAGAACAAACTCAAACTGTCTTATAAATATGCAGACTTATTCCCTACCTCATTCAAACAGTTTTACATCGCCATTATTCAGAGGCCAATCACAACTGTTGATCTAATGGATAACAGGTTTCAGCACTGCTGAGGCATTTTAGTAAACAACAAAGATGGCTGCCACTGAACTGAAACATTCTGCATTTGCCTTTGCATCGGTATTACAAAAGAAAAAGTTTGGATTGCGATAAAAAAAAAATCTTGGCTGCTCAGTCATGCTGTAAAAGTTAAATGTGGGAACTAGCTACCTAGCCTAGCAGCCTACTGCTACGTCACATGTTTCAATGACAACACTTGGGACTTCCCCTTGAAAGCCCAAAATGAACTGAGAAGTTCCAGATTCTTTCAATTGTGGGTTTCTATATTTGTGTCATAATCAAAGATGGATGATAAGGATTTAATCACCTCAGTCACTATGCATTTTCATTGTTTTTTTTGTTAACAGAATCTTTAAGTTTGCGTTTGACTTCTTGGTTTGCTTACATTGTTGGTGAGGAAGCGGACTGCTATGCGTATGATGAGGATGGCCCAGAAGATATGCAGACACTGCAGAACCATTAAAAGGCCGTTGAAAAAGTAGTAGCCAAAGAAGGGTTCATAGATGGTCACAGGGTACACCCACGTACAGTAAATAATCCTGAAATCGAGAGAGAGTGAGGATTAAGGACACGGTCACTTGGATAACCTGCAGTTAAATATTACAGCAAGAGATGAAATCATTGTGTGTTAGTACCTGAAGGGAAAGATGACCAGACGAGTGATAATGAAGATTGCAGCAAATACGATGAAGATGTAGTTACAGGCATTTCGCCATCCAGCATAGTTGAACATCTTTGCAGACTGTCAAAGGGAAAGAGAAAGAAAACAGTTAAATAGGTTAGTTGTGGATTAATAATACATTTCTTTGAATAATAGAAAGTGTATTGGTTTACCTCATCTATAAGAAGTGTATCAGTTGAGCAAGAAGCGACTACATGGTGACCACAGGGAGGATGCACATTGCTCGATATTTATCCTGGTTGAAAGGTTGCTGTGGTAGTGGTTTGTTAACCACAGGTAGCTACACTGTAAAGCATACTCTGCTTTGAAATCTGTTCTCCTCCTAAAGAGGCCATCATTTACAACTCTGACCTCATGCCGTAGTGAAGAAGACTGAAATCTAGAACTTGAGACGATAGACTCATTAGGAAGTTGTTTACTGAGGTAATAAATCAATCACGTTGTAGGCTAATTTTCACATCTGCTTCCCTGACATCCGACTTCTTTCAGCAACGATCAAAATTGGCATCGGCTGCACTTTTGTAACTTAGAGGCTACACTTCTTTTTATATAGTCTTAAGGTTAAGCTCTGTCCCACTAAAGATACTGGTAACCTCACTATAGTTTTGTCCACAAGGTGGCAGCATATGATCAGAATGAAGCACAGCACTCACTTCATCATGACTGAACATAACTTTAAACTGCCTGATGAATAAATTACAAATTGATTGCTGTTGAAGGGGATACATGACAATCAAACAAAATAAGATGAAGTGATTATTGGCCCCGTTCATTTTTATACCTTTATTATGTGTTACTTTTCCATTAACAAAGCTCACCAGTTGGGATTGAAGGCACATGTCTGTTGTAGGTACAGTTTGTTGTCAGTGAATGTAATTTACTGGAATGACCCCGTGGAGACTTTTACCTCAAGAAAGTAATCAGCGGAGTCGTGCAACAGCATGATGAGAGTCCCAGCACGGATGTAATTAACGCACCAGGAAAAGCTGATGAGGAGGATGGTGGCTAAATGATGAACGATCTGCTCCTTAAAGTCCTAAAAAGAACGAAAGGAGACGTGTTAGTGATGTGTTTGCTGAAAAAAGGAAAATGTCGGGAATTTGTGTTATGCATGTTTGAGTGGGTCTGCTTTGTAGGTGTTAAATCCTTCTTAGAGGCAACTTCATTATATTGTTGTGTTGGAGAAACACACTGTGCCTTTTTGGCAGGATTTTCCCCACTGTGCTCAGCTGACCCAGGTTGAGCAAAGTCCAAACATTCACACACACACACACACACACACACACACACACACACACACACACACACACACACACACACACACACACACACGTGTAACAACACTCTAATGTCCACCCACAGTGCAAACCAGATGTAAAACTGCACAGAAAGAACATTGTATGTTGCTACAAGTACATCATGTTCGACTCAACCATACAGAACATACACAAAAACAATCAGTCTGTTCCCATAGCCATATTTTTGTGATCCCCAGAAAATATTCACATACTTTTCGTTTGACATCAGAAGCCACACTGAAGAGCAGAGAGCAGTAGAAACCCAGCTCAATCATGTAGTACCAATACTGAGATGGCAGGAGAGTCTGAAAGAGAAGGAACTGATCTTTAATTTTGAAAATATTAACACCAGTTATTCTTTACATCTGTTGGTCTGTAAATGTCTACAACATGTTCGAGCATCAGAATCCCTATAGCCTATTATTTAACATGAGTAGCCTCCAAAAGCAAAAATCTTTCATTCTGAACTTATACATGTGAAATGTCTCTCAGTGCCCAAGAACATCCAACCACATTGAAGAAACATTATTCAAGATCTCTGTAAAGGAATTTGAAGTACCCCCGAAGGCATTTTCATGTAGGTGCCAAATTTAAAATAAATTGTAAAGACTTCAGTGTTTCCCCTAGGTTTACAGCGTTGGGAGGTGGGGACACACGCCGACACAAACACTGGAAGGAATCTTGGTGTTCATACGTTACTTTTAATGACAGCTGTCCTTTTCTATCGGAAAGGTATCCTTAAATGACTTCTTTCCCTGATTTCTGACTCTATCCACGATCTTATCCCTACAATAAAGGCCCAAAAAGCCCCAAAATAAATCTTTAAAAAATATATAATATAATGGTAGGGGAAACACTGGAGTTTTAAACACCTGCAGCTAACAGGTGCATTCAGTGTACATAACCATCCCAGAGACGTACCAGCACAGGAAAGCCCTGCCACATCTCCTGCAGGTCATACAGCCAAGGTTTCTGGAAGGAAAGATGTGATGTGATTTAGACAGCAGAGCCCCACAGGTGAGATCATATCGCCCAACTAAGCATGGCAATGAGATTACTACGGTATGATGGTTGTTTGGTCACTAATGAGAATGTTTACATTAAGAGACAAAATGAGGAGGGGTGGAGGTTAACAAGGAAGTACTCACATCAATGAGGGCGGCCAGGCCAGCAATGAAAGCAAGAAGGTAAAAGGTAAATCTCCAACTGTAAGAGAACACACATACACACACACACTTTCTACTCAGTCAATGGGGATAAGACAATAGACTATTTTTCAACCCGCAGACACTTAAAAGCATCTCATAAACACACACACACACAACACAATCTCACATACAGACGTGAACAAACAGGGAGCAGCTAGGAAAGAAACAGCAGGCTGCATGAATGGCCTAGAGATCTGGGGAACTACTCTGAGTCAAATCAGGACAAACACACACATACATTACACACACAAACACACTGACAGACAATGAGTGCTGTCAGACAGTATCCTCCCTGTTAATATCCTGTAACTCAGACAGTGAGGGGTCATTCCCACCCCAGCCTCTGGTACAGAGATGGGGTTTCACACATGAAACACAGAGAAATAAATAAAAGAGGGGAAAGGGGAACAAAGTGGAAGAAGAGACCAGCAAGGAAAATAGGGGAGAGACACAGAAAGCCTGTTCACACAGACAATAGCTTGATTCAGAGGAGAAATGTCATACCATGCAGCGCTAAAGACAGACCACAAACAGCAAGTCGCAAGTATGCAGTCACATGCACATCCGCACAAACCGAGACAAGCTTCAAATGCACAACATCAATCCACCACGGACTAACTTAAATGAAATGTCGCACACATATCTACAGCAAACTCATCCGTCTAGATTTATCTTCTTGTAGAGTGAAGGGTTAAAGGGTCACTTCATCAAAATTCCAAAAGCTTTTGAATTCAGGTTTAATTGGACCAGGTGTTTGTAGATATACTGTAAGAACATGCTGAAAGGAATTGAATAAAAAAAAACAATCTCCCCAGATTTAAATCTTAATGTTGAGAAACTCTGAGTACTTAAAGCTCCTGTAGATATTAATGTATCCTGTGTACTGAGTGGTACCTATTATGTCTTTGGTGCAAAAAAATCTCTTCCTGCTTAATGAACTGCTAACTTGTTATTCCAAAGAAAGCAGTAAAAAAGTAATACCTATTAAAAGGTGTGTGTGTGTGTGTGTGTGTGTGTGTGTGTGTGTGTGTGTGTGTCTCGTTTTCATTTGAGTGAACTGACCCTTTAAGTCACATAAAATGCTTGAAATGATCTGCTGGCAAACATGAAATGCTCATGACAATGAAGCTAACGGTGATGATAGGCACGTCCCTACACGGTTGTTATACATGAAACACCACATGTACAGTAGGTTGGACTAATAATAATATGATATAATGCATTTGTCTTTGAAATATTTGCCACATTAGTTTTGTGTCACCAGTACACATTGTGGATCCAGCCAGCTGCCACTGGCTAGTTTCAGTAGCTTTGTATCTTCACGCTTACATACTGTTGGTTTAGCTCCTGCCAAACATAAAAATAACCAACAGTGGTGACAGAGGCCCTGTTTCTGAGGCCGTTGTGCTAATGAATATGTGAATGGTTGGATTTGTGTGTGTGTACACGTGTGTATGCGTGTGTGTGTGTTTGAGGCAAGAGTGGGGGTTACAGGCACGGTAGCAGCCGAGTGGCATTGTAATGAGTGCATGTTAAAAATAGAGGGCTGCTTTTGCCTTCAGAAATGTGCACATATAGCCAGAGGAACGCAAGGGTGTTCAGCTGTCTCAACCTGCTCCATACAGTAGCTGTATATAAGTGTGTCGATACAGTATGTTAAAGAGTGTTTGAATGTGTTTCTTACCTGGCTTCTCGAAACTTTTTGAGCAAACTCGGTCTGTCCTGGTTCCTTCGTCTTCTGAACCATCGCTGCACTTGTCTTTCTGACAAGCCCGTCTTTTTGCAGAGACTTGCAACAGAAGTCTTAAAGCAGCACATAGAAGTCAAATATAAGTATGTAATATTCAGACTCTATCTTTTGAATTATGAACGGCTGTGGGCCAACATGTACCTGTGTGGGGGTTTTGGTAATGTTACAGAAGTAGGACTCCAGTGTGGGGTTGTGAGGGGCTTTGAGCCGTACTGTGTCTTTGATCCCGAGCAGGGAAGCTAGAGGTGTAGCCACTGTCCTGCAAAAAGAGATGAAATGTAGAGACAATAAGGAAATTAAAGAAGCATTGATAAAGCACAAGATGCAATCTTATAAACTGATTTGATAGGTGAGATATGATCTGCCAAAAGTTAAGGTCATTTCCTGCTTTCGGGTGCATTTAAAATCCACCATTTTTGCCTTTTTAACAAACGGCTAACACCTGCTTTAGCAGAGGCTTTGTTTCCTCTAGTAGGTGTGTTCTGGCATTTCTTCAAATAAAACTCCTTCGCTTCCTTTTATGTTTTTATTGAAGGGAGACAAATACACCTAAACAAAATATACAGAGGGATCTTTCTCCTGTGACAATATCTGCGAACAAAAAGATCATCAAGTGTTTATTATCATCAAGTGTGTAAATGTCTTACTACATTACTGAAGTCTAGTTAGCCAGCTTTGTAATTTTTGACACTCTCTAGTTGGACGGGATGTAGGACTGAAAAACACTAATGAGTAAGGGAGATTCTTGGTATTGGCAATAAAGCACAGGTGGAATCTGTAACGGTTGTCTGATTTCCAAAAGATTAACTCCTAGAAACAAGAACATTGTACTTGTTTGGGCAACAACATGAGACACTTGAAAGGTTGGAGCTTTAGTTCTTTTAATCTCGGGCCTAGCACAGGGAATATTGAATAATAACATTGCAAAAAAACTGAGATAAAATAACTGCATTCAGAGGAAACTAAGGTAATTGCAGGTGAGATGATGACATCACTAAATGATGGACTAAAGTGGAGAGAAAACAAAAGAATGGCAGTGAGTAAGACTCAGTAGAAGGATTTTAGACAAAATACATTTTTGAATTAACAAAATAAACACACACATAAGTTGACGAGTACAAGCATTAAGTAGGACATGGGGAAAAATGAACTGACCTTTCAAAGATCTGTCGGATGATAAGGAATGCAAGTGCGATGGGCAGGGCCACCCACAAGTCACCGGCTTTAGCGTATACTCGTCCATCCCGATCCTCCAGGTCAGCCCAGCCCAGGCCTTTTGGAAACCACAGCCGCTCCTGCCAGAACCAATCGCTCAGCCCCAATATCATCCTGCAACACAGGACACACATTAAGTCAACAACAAGTCTACGAGATTATTTCACTCAGGATACACGTCCTAGCGGTAGAATCCACACATTTATGTAAACAAAACAGTGACTTGGTTTCATATTAAATCTGAGAAACACTGTGCAACAAGAGGCACTTTAAAGGCTAAAGCTTTAAAGGGTGGGCTGTGTGTAGAGGAAGACATCTTTGATTAGGAATGTTTGCTACCATGTAATTAAGATAAGAAGAGATGGTTTCCTCTCACTGGAGGCCTGGCTGTTGTTTTCCCTAATGCATAAAACAGAGCACAAGCTGCATGCTGGGAGCTCAGGAGGCCCGAGTGAGGGAGGAGAAATCAGACCAACAACTAGGCTTCAAGGTTTCAACACCACCAGTGCTGCCCTGAACAGACAGCAGCTGCAAGAGTTTAATTCAGAGAGTACAGAGATGAATGTTTCTGCTGCTGAGATGAGGGAGTGGCTGAAAGAAAGTTTAAAAGGGTGGCGGCGAGGGAGAAGTATCATCAGAGGGATATGAGTCATGATAGGTCCATATGTGCAGAGCAGCGGGGGCGCCCCCACACACTCCATCTCTGGAGTCCCCTCGCAGATCTACAGTTACTCCCCTCCCGCCCAGCGCAGCTGTAAATGCCTAAACCCTGTAACTGCTTCACTTCCACTCCCATCCCCGCCCTGCTTCTCTCTGCCAGGAATCAAGAAGGATTCCCCCTTCGGTCCAGAGCACCAAAGCTGTTGGAAATACTCTCCCTCTCACTGCTATCTTCAAAATGTGCTGCTCAAATGAATCGGTTTCATAAAATCATGCTGATGTAAAGTAATCTAAGAATAATTTGCTTAACTAATCATTTGTTCTTCAAAATAGTACAACAAAAGTTAAACTTCCTAAGCCCATTGATCTTAACTTAGATTTTTTTCTGAACAACACCTGAACCTCCAAGTTATTGACTATAACTATATAACAAAAAGGTTTAAATACTCTTAAATAAGTAACATACCTTCTACATTCTTAACCTGCTCAAAATACGTTCAAGCAGGAAGTTTCATACTCATTGATGCATCAAGTGATCATTCCATCATGTCGCTCCCCTTTTAATCCGTTCTCCTCTCTGCTGCTGTCAGTTTGTTGTCTCAGCTCAATCGTTGCAACCCTTCTCCATCCCAGACACCTCCAACACATCTCATCAGTGTCCAGGTCCAGCTCCTCAGCTAATCCTGCTTCCTTCCTTCACCACCACCAATGTCTACACTTCATCAAGGGGGGTTTCCTGTCCTGCTCTTGGGGTCACTACGACTTTGGGTACATGAAGACATCGCAATGGGGTCTCTATTTGCCAAAGACATTACACATTTCTCATCATTTTCTGAACTTCAATATGAAGTAAGGAAGTCTCGCCTGAATGAAATACCTTTAACCCATATTGTGCTGTTGCTCTTCTTTCATCACAACAGCTGCAAAATGTAGAAACAATAACTTTTCTAAAGGTTTACATGAGACAGCTAACCGGTCGTATTTGGTGCAGCGTACGTAAGCTGGAAGCCAGAAAGAAACTTTATTAAGGGAAATTGATTGGTATTAACAGTAACCTGTACAACAGCATAGGAGGACATTCAAATACAAAGTCAGTGTTGAGACATGATGCTAACTACCTCTTAAGGCATGTGCGTCTCGTGCCATGTTTCACTGGATCATAATCAATATCCCCCAAAGTGCAGGATAAGTCATTGATATTTTTGTTTTTTATCAAGGAAATAATACAAACTAAACTCTATCGTTTATAATACCTGAACAATGAATACTGGCAAAAAAACAGCATTTAATTAGTTTTCATGTAAACTTTATGAAAAAGGTGTAAAAATGAGCTCAAATTGAATTGAGTCAGGTAAGATTTATCAAAATGACAAGGAAGAGTAGATTTAGTAATGGGCCAGCTTCTTTTGCTTAACCGTTTTACAGACAAACAAAAAAACTGTTGTTGTTTTTCCATAAATGTCCTTTTGTCCTGATTAGGTCTTTGAATCAAGCTAAGTCTGATGAGTTCTTGATGGGGGGTTTTACCCACACAGATCTTCCCTTATTTAGTCTATCCTAAAGGCGAAACACATGGCTGCTACGTTGTACCCTCTGACACTGTCTATGAGACATGTCATGGTTCAGTGAGTTGCTTGTTTTCCACATCATGTCATGTTAGTCATGGCCCCCTTTTTCCTGTTGCAACAGCGCTTCTTGCCGAGCACTGGGCTCTCTCTCTCTCTCTCTCTCTCTCTCTCTCTCAGGTAGTGGTGGATGGGAAGGGGTGACATTTTCCCTGTAACTTTGCCAACTCTTCCACTTCAGTAGCGCTCCATCTCACTTCTCCTCTAGAGTGTCCTGACAAATCTGGCTGAACAACAAGTCTGTCTCCATAAAAAAACAGAGTAATTACACCAAAAACTGATGACATACAAATGAGATTCTGGGGGGGAAATAAAAAATGGTTCCAAGGTCAGAAATGCTGAGAGAGGTAGACAAATAATCTAACTAAATGTGTTATGAATGATATCTGATTAAAAAAAACCTACTTTAAACTTGAAATAAGTGTACTAGCTAGGATCAACTAACACATGGAAAACCTGAAAGCTGAAAACAAAAAGATCTGAATACTTGAAACTAAAGAAGAAACATCCCTGCTGTGTGGGAGAGTTTAGAGGATACATTTAGGGTTACTAGTTGAGATCTCAGTGAATTCAGCAAGTTAAATGTCTTTTCCCAACACAGCTTTTTTAAACATCACAACCCATTGGTCCACAAGATCATATGACCAGACTCTGACCATTTCAAAGGTCCAATAACGAGAAAGGATTCCTCTGGCAGGGGAGGGAGAAAGGAAGTTTCCTAACAGCCTCCTCTCTCTCTCTCTTTTTTACTATGAATATACATTATAGGGATGTGGTGATTGTAAACAGAGATCAGGCTCTACATGCTTCTGACACGCTTCTATGTTTAGTTTATAAATCATGATGTAGTTTGTTGAGAATGGATGAAATGAAGGGAACCAGCCTCAGGAAATACCCAAACCGACCAGACTGGAACCTGGTACAGAATCTAGGAATATGTAAACACACTGCCAGCATACAGAGGGAAAGCATCACTTTTCCCATTTACACTCCAGTGTTTCCCCTAGGTTTACAGCGTTGGGGGGTGGGGGGGGGCACGCCAACACAAACACTTGAAGGAATCTTGGTGTTCATGTGTTACTTTTAATAACAGCTGTCCTTTTCTATCAGAAAGGTATCCTTAAATGACTTATTTCCCTGATTATGGACTCTATCCACTATCTTATCCCTACAATAAAGCCACAAAAAGCCCAAAAACAAAAAAAAAAAAAAATATACATATATATATATTATTATTTTTTTTTATTATTATTTTATTTTTTTTACTTGACCTTCAAGGGGGGCGGGGGGTGCTGTTGGGGGGGCACTCCATGCATGAATAACATCTAATTGAGTTTTACAGCCAAGCAGTACTTTGTTTATCTGACTGATAGGAAATGAGTCGACAAGGGGAACATAAGTCACGAGACAGTAGCAAAATGCTGACTGTGTGAGTCACTCAAAACGTACAATCTATGTTTGTAGAACTACCCATTTATTCTTATCCATCCTTATGTTCGGCTGTTCTCTGATCGGAATCATTCAAGTCACTAAATTAAAAAAAAAGAGTTGATAAGTCGCAGACAGAGTGGCACACTACTACTACTGTCGACATCACACAAGGTAAAAAGACATGAGTCCAAATGTGTCAGGTTGACTCAGATAAGTCAGCAGCTCTTGATTATTACGTGGAGTTGAATTTAACATGAGCGCATATAGGTTTCAAATTACAGCATTATGTGTACTTGCTGTTGTGGCCTTACAGCTACAATACAAACTAATACACGCATGCAGGTAAGCTCAATCTGCCTATGAAGAAATAACTGTTACTCAATCAGGTGCAGGGTATCAAGTTCAAACTTGTTAAGTCATAGAAATACAACTATAGAGTTGGTCTCAAGCCTCCCATAAAGCTTTTACTGTTAGTGAATTATGACCTTTAAAGAAGGGGTCTTTTTTATAACCATTTTTACATTTCAGATCATTTTTGTGTGAATGACTGTGTGTTTGTGTGTGGTATGTGGTATGTGGGTGTGCTTTATGCCTTTTTAAATAGAGAAGGACCGTGGACAGAGTAGAAAACTGGGATGATATAGTGGGGAATGATATGCAGCAAAGTGCCGAGGGTCGCGTTCTAACCCCACGTCGCCCGCTTCAAGGACTCTGGCCTCTGTACCTGTGATGTCACTGATAGGCTATCCAGTCCCGCAAGTTTTAGATAACTTTAAACCATTATTTTCCTCAATTTTCCATCATTTCATTTGTCATGTAACTTTATGTAGAATGTGTTAAATTTACAAAGTTTATCATTTCATTCTTTGATTAGATACTTTTAGATTAATGTTTAAAGATAAGCTAAATCAAGAGAAAAGTTAAGTTTACATTAACGTAGAAAAGGAGGTTTTATTGGGGGTGGGGGGGGGTGTCTTATTCCTCATTCTGAGTTAATAAAAAAACTACTATTTAGTACCAGTGCCAAAGCTAAGTAACATTATTACCACCAGTATCATAAGCTTTGTGAACCTGATATATTGGTTTACTTCATACCAAAGTGTAGTAATTCATTCTCAATGAGTAATGTAGTCCATTGCTGATACGATGCAGGGATTTCCCTCCAATAAAAGAGGCTATATAACTGTAATAACATAATGATCATTTTACTGATAAATCTGTTGGTTTTGTTAATTAACTCAACGATTGTAAAATTCCCCGATGCCATTTAAATGACGTTATCATGACTGACCTCGTCTAACAGAGCTGATAACCACTGAGGAGTGTAAATAGTATTAGTGTGCTGTAAACATAAGCTAAAGATAAGATATACTTTATTCATCCCAGCAGGGAAATGTAGGTGTTCCAGCAGCCAGCATACATACAAACACACAACACAACACATATATACATACATATCCCAAAAACAAAACAAAATGAGAGCTTAGACCATTAGGCAATTAATAAATTAGAAAAAATATAAATTACAAATTATTTCATGGAACCATTGAGTTAATGTTATGTTACTGGTGCAAAGATGTAGCTCTGCCAAACATCAGTCTAACTGTTGACAACAGACTATGTTTCCACTGACATCCTTCATTTGTGGTCCCACATTAATTCAATTCAATTCAGAAAACTTTATTTGTCCCTGGGGGGGGGGGGGAATTCAAAAAAGCCAGAATTAAGCCAGTTTGTAGACCACAGATACAAATCCTGGGGCATATGGAGGGATAAGTTGCACTCATCTCTACAAATGGTCCATGAGTTGTAAATCATGTCATGCATTGGACATATTGAGCTCGAGGGTTCTGAGGGGTGACTCATGGTCATCATTCACATCTTAGAAATTCCTCTGGATCTTAAGTTTGCCTGAAAAACCGTTGAGCATAATTTCATTAAAGTGCGAGATTAAAGGGTTGGGCAAACACAGAGATGGCAGGAAATTATATGCTGTGAGTAGGAGACAATTTGAAATCATCCTAAGGGCAGACAGCCCGTCTGTGGTGATCTGTTTCATCAATGTTATCCTTGTTTGAAATAGAGATCACAAGAAAGTCAACTTCAATATCTTTGACACTGATCTGTGGCCCTGATGAATTATTGATGAGGAGATTCAATCTATCTGCAAACTGATTTGAATGAGGCCCGTTCAGGACGTGTGAGGGTAATATTGTTATGCTGATTCTTTTCAGACTGGATGCTGGATGCCATATGAAGACCCTTTTGAGTTAGCAGTGTTACCTCAGCCTGAGCCATTAGACCGGCACCTGGACACATGTGGGGCCATTCTCTTGGAGGAGAGGTACCTCTAAAGGGTAATGATCTTCAAACATTAGCAACACTGACGTACTGCTGTGGAAAGATAGCCAGAGCTCAAGATATTTGAATCAGACAATAGTTTTCATTCACAGAAGATAAATTAGGTATTTTTCTATATACAGGTAAAGGACGGACGGACGAACTAAAAAGTAATCTATATTTTCGTCTCGAGAGGTTTTCTGTGACTTCACCCACGGGCTCACTTAAAGTTTAACCTGTATGACAAACTAATTGCTGTGATGTTCCCTTTTGCTTGCTTTTGTTGGATTGAACCGTAATCCATATATAATTGACAGTGACTACAGAGACAAGCAACACATCCTCACATTTTAAAAAGCTGGAAGCATAACATTCTTTGCATTTTTTGTTAAATAAATGACTGATTGGTTGAGCACTACCGTCAGGCTCTCATGGGACTTTGCCCAATAGTTAACCTGATGCAGGCCTGCATACAAAGATTGTCAATATCTACATTTTAAATTTCCCTGTTATCATGTCACAGATTTACATACAGTTGAGTAGTAATGTGTTTTCAAGGCCATGAACAAACCCCATTAGAAAAAGAGGGAAAACTCTTTTTTTTAGTGACTGCTGTTGGACGTAGTTGAATCTCATTATTACAGCTACTAAAAATCAATTTGAGATATTCTTATCCCTGACTGTTTTTTTTTTCAAGCTCGGTTGTCATTTGTGATGCCCATGCTAGCTTTAATGTTGCTATCCTCCAAAACGGAATAGCGGAAAAAGCTAAGTGAAGACCACAATGGAGCTAGGAGCAGATGTCCCAAACGAAAACAAATCACCGAAGACACTAAAAAAAACCAAAAAACACACAATTTACACACGTTGTCATACGATTGCACAAAGGGTGTTTCTTTGTGTGCTCACTGGTGTATTTTCAGTGTTGTAGTGACAGTGATAATGTGGCTTAATCCGCAGCTAGTTAGCAAAGTTTAGAAACAAGACCCACTATTGGGCCATGCGCCAGGCAGCCCTCGTTGTGGTAACAGCAGATAACAACGTGTAACGATGTTTAAGTTACACCTCCAATATGTTATTTTCGTCCTTTTTCAGGCGTTGAACCCCCCCTTCCCCAAAAGGGTACCCCATCTTTTTCACTTAATTGATTCCTACATGAATGCGTAATGACGTCCGAGGAAAGGATGCGAAGCGTGCGCCCCCTCCTCACGCACACATAACGGAATAATGTGCCGAGATGAAAGTGAAACAGTACTTACTTTGGTGTTTTTCCTCCGTTGTGTTGCGTAAAGTATGGCCTGCAAACACAAACAAATGTTCTCTACAAAGGCGTCCTGGTCCCTCTTAGCCAGCTAGCATAGGGGGGTAGGGGGGGGGGACAATACTAACAGTCCTGTTGAGTGTGCCCAGCCCGCTGTGATCAGGAGGGCGCAGTAAGTGTCCAACTTTAGTGTCCGGGTGGATTTTTACATGTTTCCATGGTGTACAAAGTTTGTTTTTCTTCTCAAGTTCAACATTTGTGGAGTGTAAAAAAAAAAAGAAAAAAAAAAAAAGAAAGTGGCGACAGAATGAAAAACGTGCGAGATGCTGCAATGCGACCGGCAGCTTTGCTTGAACACAAAATGTTCTGCTGTTTTTTTTCTCCCCGTCGTGTCCCAGAGAATTTCTCTCAACCCCACGTTGTGAGTCCGGGGAGTCGGAGGGGTCTGAGCGGACGTCTGGCCGGGCAGAGGCGGAGGTCAGGCCGGCAGGAGAGCGGACAGAGAGTAGCAGACAGAGAGAGAGAGGAGGAGTGAGGGGATAACGGAGAGGGTGGGACGCAGATGACGTCCGAGCACATGAGAGAGCATTTGGCTGACACACACTTACACACATCCGCATTTTGTTTCCGCTCGGAGGAAAGTTTCACTGTGTTATTTTCGTTTTATCGTTGATCTGAATTTTAATTTCACAGTCCTCTATTATTATTATAGACCAGTTCCTTTTTAATCAAGGCTCTGTGTCGTCTCATTGTTGTTGACCCATTGTCACTGGGGATGACCCCCTCTACTATATGCAAATGTAACATTAGTCTATTTGTTAGTTTTTGAGTAATTGAGGGCGAAATCAATTATTTTGATTTTATAAAATGTATTATTCTTAGGGTCTCAGTTTGTTTTGATTTTCTTTCTTTGATACTTTGACATGCCCCTCAGAGCTCACAGACAATACCTCACGTTTTTTTAGGTGAATAAATAAGCAACCATGTGTCAAGTTAAAGTAGCCTACACTTGTCTCTAAATCTCGTGAAATGTGAATCAAAGGTGAATGACATGGTAGATAATCTTTCTTTTTGTCTGTTATCATATATGATATGATATATAACAAGCATGTGAGGGGTTAACAAGCTGACATGTGTCACAGAATAAAGGTCTCACTTACCTTAGGTATGTAAAACAGTATACTTCAGATAGTAACAGTGCACATGTGAGACGGGTTCAATGGACAAGGTCAGTGAGGCTTCCACTGTTCCTCTTGTGAATGGTAACCACAACCACTCTGGATCATGCTTGATTTGTCATGTATCTTTAAACACAGTAGACCTAACAGGTAAAATGGGAATTATCAGCCCAATATAGACTTGTTAATCTTTTTAGCCGACCAGTGGGTCGGGATTGAAGAAAGAAGCCAAGCAAGCAGTAACAAACCAACAAATCCAAAGCAGAGATTTGTTTGTTGACTTCCATCGATTTTTTATTCTACACTTCTAATTTATCACTATGTCAGAATCTGTATTTTTATACTGACAACTGCACACAACTGTCTCTTTAAGTTTTGTGTGAGTAGAGCAGAAGTTCCCAAAGTTGGGTTGCAAGCTCCCAAAGTGTTATATGTTCACTCATGGAAATTACCTGTATACTGCTCAGCCTTTCTTTCAATAACTTACTATATTAAATAATTGTATGTCTTTTAGGCTGTTGATTTCTTTTGTGTTGTTCTTTTGTGCTACCGTGTTTGGATAGGCCTATTAGTGCGTGGGTGTGGGTGTAGCCTTAACCACCTCCAGGGACAGTGAGGGTCCCCAGTCTTTGGCACCCATGCTAATCCCCATATTTTGGAGGTTACAAGCTGAAAAGTTTGGGAACCCCTGGCCTAGATTATAATAATTAAAAAGGTTTGAGAACCACAGATGTATTAATGGTCCAGTGCATTGGTTATTTTTTACATCTCTTGTGCATTTGGTGAATCATATTTTTTAAATACTGAATTATGTGATCATTAGACTCAGTAATATCTTATCTCATAATTTGTTCTATCCCTTTTGGAAAATATAACTAAGATCTTCTTACCAAGGGAAACGATTGCCCCTCGAGGGAGGAGAGTTTAATCCCAAAGTTCAAACAAAAACAGTTTTAATTCTGCTGATAAATAAGCAGCATACTCCCAAAAATGAATATATGAGATAACAAGCTTGGCATACCAGCTTGATGTCAAACGTTTTCTTTCCAACTCTGCTTAAACTCTCTCTACGTATGCCCCCTGCTGGTCAGAAGATGTATGTGTCCTCTCTTTGTCGTTCATGAGTTGAATCATACAAATCTACAAAATAACTTTAAATGGAAAGTTATCCTTTAAAAAACCAACAACAACAACAACAACAACAACAACAACAACAACAACTATTGAGAGTAAAATACAATCATTTAAACACACATACCCTTAATAAACCACATTGGGACATTTAGTATGATACTTTTTATTTTAACTTAAAAAGAGAGTGGATCAAAAACAGGATTCAATAAATTAGAAATAAATATAATTGCTGTAATAATTAATACATACATTATAATTACTCCATTGCAAGAGTCTGACAGAAACAGGCCCTCAAAAGGTTTTTTTTTTCTCTAGAAAATTCTAAAATTAAAATATTGCAACCCACTCAAACCCCTTCTCCCAATAAACAAAATAATTGATAAATTAGTAAATAAATAAAAAATAGCTCAAATATTAAAACCTCCCGAATAAAAGTGCAATCCCCCCTCCCCCAAGTTTCACCTAAAATCTAAGTAGAAATTTAAAATAGGTTAGTGATTTCCCATTTTACAATTTGGAATGTAATATCCCTTAATGAGGATGATGATGGTACTAGTGGTAATAATAATAATAATAATAATAATAATAACAATAATGTTGCTGTGTCCTTTCCAGTGTTTATCTAAAGTAGTATTCTTTTTGCATTTTTCCTGTTTTTTTTAAATGCAGCTCTTTGTAAACTAAATTATTTACACATCATTATGATTTTCTCCAAAGTCTCTCTAACCTACTCATTTAGTCGTCTTTTTTGTACTTTCTTTCGTTTTTTTAATTATGAAACATCAGCCCCTTTATATTTGTCATGTAACAGACATGGTATATTCTCATCAGTACCTTCCTTATACGCTTAGTCATCTTAACTGTACTAAACACCCTGTTGGCAAACTGCAAACAGACCATCGTCATTCCAACCTCTTGGCTGTTATATGTAAATTTACTGACTTGTGTCAAATGTGTGTATTTGTGTGTCAGCAGGTGTGAATGTTTGTGCATTTTATGTACATTTGTATATCAGCATTGTACCATTTGAGATTCAGTGTTCAGAGTGCATGTGTATTTTTGTGTATGTGTGTGTGTGTGTGTGTGTGTGTGTGTGTGTGTGTGTGTGTGTGTTGTGTGTGCTGCACTCCCCGGACGCTCAAAGGTAGCAGACAGTCTGAAAGCACTATGAACCCTGGGATTCCACCTCAGCTGGACTCTGAATGATCACCTGTGAAGGGAGGGATAGTTGGGAGGTAGAGAGAGGGAGGGACAGAGGAGGAGGATAAGTTAGAGAGTTAAGTTATAAATACAATAGAGCTCCATGTTTCTGTCTCATCTTTACATCTGACAAAATGTGCCCCTCTCCCTTCAAAAAAACACTTTAGTAGGCATGACTCATACTGCTATTAATGTCTTGCAGCAAACTAAAGCTTGGGATGCTCCTAGCTCGTCTTTTTATTTCAGTTTCATCTCGGTGAGAAAAACACGAAGGCATCATTCACAGTTGTAAAGCTCTTGTCTCTCATCAGCAATAAATCATGGTGCTTGAACACATACAAACACAGTGTCTGAATCATGCAGATCAACACAGTGAAAATCGATTATTCATGTTCTCTCGTGGGTGATTGGAAGTGTGTTTCTGGAGGTTTGCATGTGTGCTTTTTAAAGGCTCAGTTTCTGCGTTTATGTGTGTGGGATTTTATCGACATGTGCTGCGCTTGTGTGCCTTTGATCATGGCAAGCAAACACTACTACCGACATGCATCACTCTCTGGCATTTGCAGTATAGAAATTCTGGGTGATAGTTTTAATCAGGCTGATTTAGAGGCAGCGGTTCAATTCATGGTAGATAGGTCCAATACACATTACAGTATTCTCTACTATGCGCAAGGATTTGTTTGGAAAAGTTTGACTCGAAATAGAAATAGAATCCTTTATTTATAGTGTGCTGCCATGTGACGAAGCGTCCACACATCGGCCTGACAGCAGCTACACACTTTCTCCTCTTTAGTAAAGGTTAGGGTTTGTAGAGGATTAAATTTACCTCATACTTAAGAGATACTCTATTCTCTCTATGTTATATTTCTCCCAGAATTCCTATAGTTGAAGGCTGTTCTCCAATAAGCAAGAGGCACTTGTTTTTCCACCATAACAACCACATACCCTTTACCTCAAAACACGAGCTAGAGGGATAGAAAGAGGAGGTCTGGATGAAGAGAAGCGAAGAAAGACTCTGGGGGGGGGGGGGGGGGGGGGGGGGGCAGTAAGAGGAGATAAAGAGACTGGAGGAGCAGGAGAAAGGGAGTAGTGAGGGGAAGAGGGGGGAAACACCACAAAAGCAGTGAAGGAAGATGTAAAAGAATGCCAAGGAAGAGAAACAAAGGAGCAAAAAACTGAGGTGCCACATCAAATCAGTGTAACAAATCAGAATCCAGGAATTTAAAACTCAGCCTATCAGAGTACAGCTCAACAAAATGCATGCTCACCCATAATTGTATGCTTTTGTCATTAACTCAGAAAGCCTTTCTGTTCCTTTCTGTCCTAACCTGTAAGCCATATTTAAAGTTATCAATGCATAATCATTACATTGCTTCTTGTCCAACATGGCTTGTTATTTGTATAAAGCATGAAATCATTTAAACGTTTTTTTATCAATCAAAATGAATGTCAAGTGTTTCAGTAAACTGTAGTTTATATTTATTCACCATTCCACTATGGAAGCCTCTGAGAAACCTCTGTATATAAACACCAGTACGACAAGGATTGTTATGCACTCCTGTATTACACACTAATAGTGTAACACAGGCACATATGTACACATAGATGCCCACGCTCACTACTTTACCCAAACAGTAAGTTCAAATAATAATGACACCAAACAGAACACTACAGAAACTGATCAAAAACAAAGCTGCGAAAAAGTAACAAGCGTTGCTACAAAATTGATCAGATTACTATACAATCATTAAGTGTCTCAAATATCCAATTAAATCAATTGATTCTGAGTACAGTCCTGGCTATTGACAGTTATTGATCAGTATGTGCACAGGTCAATACAAAATAAAGTCACAATGCACCAAACACAGTCTGTGGTCACTACAGCAACAGGACATGCAGGTCAACGCATGGCTGGTTGCTCGAGGTGACAGAACAAAAATTGCCAAGGGCAACCAACACAGGCAATCAATCGCCACAGCAACCCAAACACAGGCCAACCAATCAACTTACAACAATGTGAGAGGAAGGGGGGGTCGGGGCTTTATCAGTCACTAGGCAACCATTGCCATAGCGATGGGGTCCTCGTGTATTATGATTGGACGGAAGGATCTTGGGTGAGGTAAGTTGCCGTTTCAGGAAAAGATCAAAACAGCAGGAAAGAAAATTAAAAAATAGGTTGTGAAAGAAAATAAAAAGGAAAACAATATTTTAGTACTTTCACTTTTCCTGAGTTTATGAAGTTGTGTTTATATGAGTAACCCAACTTTAATTGACTGATATTTCATGTTTAGCTTTTCTTTTTAACTTTTTTTTTTTTACCATCAATTAGCTTTGCAGTGTAACAGCTAATGCTGGGCTAATTTCATATTCCTGATCCTCAAACATACAACACCTCGCTTCTTCTTGTAAGTTGTGTCACTCATCACCTCTCACCTCTTTTTCATGTCTTCTTCTTCCTCTCATATATCACTCAGTATGGACGGTTGGCGTCTTTGGGCCTTTTGAGCTGCACTTTCAGTCTCTTCATGCCGATCTGGAAACCATTCATGGCCTGGATGGCAGCCTGAGCGCTGGCTGGGTTATCAAAACTCACAAATCCTGGAAGAAAGAGAAAGAAAGTTGTTACAGTTTTTCAACAGAGCCTTTCTTCCACACAGTTCTTTTGTTGTAATGTTCCAAAGACACAATGATTAAACTGACGCAATATCTTATCCTTCGCAAAGTCACCCCCTGTGTTTTTGTCTTGTCCTTTAATTTCTCCAGTCTCTCCCCTTTTCCCTCAACCCCCTCTCCCTGTCTGTGTGTCTCACCGAAGCATTTGCTCTGGTTGGTGGCTCGGTCAACAAACACCTTCGCAGAGATGACATTGCCAAAGGGCAGGAACATCTGCAGCATCTCGGAGTCACTGAACTCCTGAGGCAGGTGGTAGATGAAGATGTTACAGCCCTCTGGACCTGAGACACACATGCACACACACACACACACACACAGACACAGACACATTATGCAGAGTGTGATAAATGATCTCAAGCAGTGAAACCCTTGTGATAAACAACTTTGAACACCATCACTGGAGAGAGGGGTGTGGCCCCCAGACAGACAGGAAGTCACATCACCTTCTCTCTGCTGCTGTTGCTGGGGCTGCTGGTGTTGCTGGGCAACCAGTGTTGGCTGCTGGGGGAACGGCTGCCCAACCAATCCGTAAGCAGCAGGATACGCCGCTATTGGGAGAGACAGTAACAAAGTGTGATTGGGTAAAAACAACAGGTGGCAACACAGCAGCGTCCAATAGAGTATTTTCAATTGAACTGAGATGTGTCCTGCTGAAGGTTAAAACTGCTAACTGTAACAGTAACATGGAGCAAGTGTTAATTTCAGTGTTGATCTGAGGCTGTAATCTACACATTACAGTGCCCCCCTGACTCCATAGCAACAATCCATATATACAAAAGATGTGACGGTATGATTATCTTTGGTTACTACCAGCAAATGCTGTGTCGCCTTTGTCAAGGGGAAATCAAATAAATCATGGTTAAACTAATTCCATTAACTGCCCTTGAAACAACACTATCCTTGAAACAAGGGCGGTCAAACTGAAAACAGACAGTTTGACTTCTTTGTCCCCCATTTTATAAAGTCTTTATTTAACTGACTACATGAGCTGTCTGCTTATCTGCACATTAATATTACTGAGCCATAACGTTTAATGCTGATTAGCAAAATAATGACACAAAAATTTGTAATAAGCAAATTAGATGTGTCTCTTTACTTGATCTGAAGAGATTTTCAAGTGCTTTACATTGTGATTTTTTTTTTAGCATTTGGGTTTTTCTCCCTATCTATCTATCTATCTATCTATTAGGCCATATCTTTCTGTACACCAAGTATAGTGGTCCAATGTTGCAATATACCCAAAATTGTAAGTGTTGTGAGCTAAAGGATAATTAATTTGAAGAATATGGAGCAAATTTACATCCGGTCAGAACTTTAATCTGTGCATATACTAACCTGTGTAGTGTTGCATGCCTGCATATGCCTGCTGTAGAGGGTCCAGAGCTGCTGGACTCTGAGCTGAAGAGCGAGAAAAAAAGCAAGCTGTGAAAAAATAAATTTAGGAGTTTTCTTTGTTTAATATTTAGAACCAAGTTGAAGATACATCTGTATGATTCTCACATATGATAGCAATACCTTGATATGGGTGAACGCCATTGGTGTAGAGGGCTTCTGTTGCTTGTTGTCCATTGGTGGGGGCGGGCAAACTGCTGTAGCCATTCACTCCCATTGGAGGAGGGAGAGCTGGCACAGGCGTTGCTGCCATAGTTGGTGGAGTGTTTGTACCTATAGACAGAGACAAAATAATAATACTGTGTTACTGCAACTCTTTCACTCTGTTTCATCATCCATGCTGCTGCCCTGTTGCAGCTATCGAACAACATGTATCTAAAGGAAGATTGCAGATTAATAAAAAACCACAACACTCTTTAATTTATTGTTCTTATTCACACCTAAAAACTTAATGTATTACTATGAAAATAGTCAAATTGTTATTTTTATTTATGATGGTGTGAGTTTGGCTGTGTGACTGTTTGAGCCTACCCGAAGATGGCGCGATGGATGTAATGGGTGTGGCAATGATTCCGTTGGCATTGAGTGCCGCCATCTGCTGCATCTGTACGGCGGCAACTGTTGCCACAGGAGACAAGTACGCTGACTGGGCAACCAGGGCCTGCTGTTGAACAAGCTGCAAACGGAGAAGGAAACAGTTAGCGAGAGTGAGCAAGGGGATTGAGGAATAAGAGTGGCAGGAGGGAGGACGGAGGACAAACACACAGAGAAAAAGAGGGTAAGACAAAGGAACAGCTAAATAGACATGGGAAAACCGAGAGCGAGACAAAGAAGGGAAGAAATGAGAGGAAAGGACATGGAGGGGGAGTGATAGAGGAACAGATGAATAGAGATCTAATTACAAGGCCATTATGTCCTGAGTCAGTGGGTTAATGGTTGTGTGTTGCGGGAAAGCTAATGCCAGATGACGTATGTTCTGTTGTCTGTGTAATAACATTAGCTCCAATTAGACCACTGATAGCCTCTTCAAACTTATTACATCCTTTCATAAGCACAGCACTCTCTTTACAAACTTAGTGTGTATATCTGTGTGTACAGAGCAGAGTGTTTGTTGGTGCACTGCTTGCCTGTGCATTGACTGCCTGTGTGTAGGCGTTGTAGGCGGGGAAGTTGAGGGTCATGGGGCTGAAGATGCTGAGCTGGGAGGCCACCTGCTGCATCCTCCTCAGTCCCCGCTCCTTCTCTGTGTCGGCAAACTTCACCACCAGACTGGATGACGCTCCCTGTGTGGTTAGAGAATGAAACAGACGCTAAGTTTCAGCTGCAGAATTACGTTATGTCATGAATGAAATGATGAACATGTTGTGTTTTAATGGGACTGGGCTGCATGTTCACTGATTCATTCATTTTCTCTGTCAGGCACAGGCCAATCCTCCAAGACTTAAGAGGTCGCCAAGAACAGGACCAAAGCAAACTCTCCACTGTGACTTATGTAAATGGCCTTGGAGGACCATACAGCCATTATGTAATATGTGCTTACCCTTTGTGTGCCTGTTTTAAATCAATTGTAATCTCATACATGCAACTTACAGGCATTGTGCGGCTCCCATGCAAGCTGTTGATGGCAGCCTGTGCTTCAGAGTGTCCTTGGTATTTTACAAAAGCGCATCCTGAAACAAAACAGTCAGTTTGAGTACACATATAATTAAATCACAGCATAGTACTTTATGATATAAGGTAGTATGTGTATATGCATGAGCAGATGTACTGTAGTGTTTTACCTTTGCTAGTGCCGTCAGGTCCTCTCAACACAGTACACTCGTCTATGCTTCCAAAGGGCTCAAACAGTCTTCTGACATCCTCGTCACTCTGTTGCTTTCCCAGCATGCCCACAAACAATTTCCTGTCCTCTGAGAGTAGAAGGACATGTTAATAAAAGGAAGAAGAGGATATGCCATTACCTTAATTTCCCTCTACCTGATCAAATCTCTTTTAATAAAACTATAGAAGCTGTGTGAGGGGAAATCGATCAGTCTCAGGACACTACCATGTGTGTCCACCAGGGAGCAGTCTTGACTATGTGAAAGCTTATAAGAGAGGGGAATGGAAAGATTGTGATACAAATGTGTGTGTGTTTGTGTGTGTGTGTGTGTGTGTGTGTGTGTGTGTGTGTGTGTGTGTGTGTGTGTGTGTGTGTGTGTGTGTGTGTGTGTGTGTGTGTGAAGACCACACTCAAATGTGTGTGTGTGTGTGTGTGTGTGTGTGTGTGTGTGTGTGTGTGTGTGTGTGTGTGTGTGTGAGTGTGTTACTATTTTAAGTGCATGTCTCACCTCCTCTGCCCTCACTGTCAGCTGGTTTCACCTGGATTGGCCGATTCATCTGAGGAACAATGAAGAAAGAACATAGACAGAAAGTCAAAAAAACAAGTCTTTCTCCATTTCTTTTAAATCAACTCCTACTATAAGCGCAAAATAACAAAGTACATTGCTGATCATCATTTGATAAATAACAACGGCCAGAAAAAGAAAAAAATATTTTTATAATCAGGACCAAATGGACCTTACATTATATCCACCATTATTTTTTAAAATATTTTGTCCAGGAACAGCTTAAAAAAGATTGATTTGTTTTCTTGCATCTAGGTGAAAATCAGGAATATAGTTTCATAAATGGAAACAAGGTTTATATTTTAAAAACTGAATAACAAAGGATATAAAAGATCTCAGGAAGCAGGTCAAATTATTTAAAAAGAGCTACAGGAGTTCCTTCTTTATTAAATCGACAGTTTGGTGAATAATCTTTTTTGAAAGAAATTGAGAAATTGAATTTATCATAATAAACAAAAAGGGTGTTTTCTTTAAACAATCCCTAGGGAAACCTTTTTCAAAACTTTAACAGACTACAATAAAAACCACAAAATAAAAACAATGTATCAAAGATGAACTCATCTTGCAGATTAATTGGAGAACAGGATTTTATCTGTGTTGTATGAAAAATGACGTAAGATGTACAATAATGATGTGTGTGTGTGTCCGTGTGGTTTTCAAGTCACTGATAAATGAAGGTCAGCAGGTGACAGATGCATGTAAACTTTGTCCCCAAGCTGCTCTCTTTCTTTGTCAAAACACAATCTTACTGTCTCTGTCACTCTGGAGCGCACACACATACACACACACACGCACGCACACACACACACACACACACACACACACACACACACACACACACACAAACAGAATGGACGGGGGATTGAGAAGTGACGAGATTAAGAATGCAGGGCCAGTTGATCTGGATTACACAAGAACTTTGGATTAGATGAGGGACAAGAGTAGATTGAGATGGAGAGAAGAGCGAGGGGGGGGTATTGTAGTGGGATGATATGACAAGTGTGTGTAGGGAACGGGCGCACTCAGCTAAAAATAAGAGGTTGGAGAAAAAGGAACAGAGAAAGAGAAAGGCCTGGGGGATCTCCACTGACTTCGGCCGATTGAAAGGGCAGGTGGAAGGCCAAGAGGAACCAAGAGGGTGAATGGAAAAGATGGGAAAAAGAAGCTAACACGAGGAATGAGACAGAGAGTGGGAGGATGAAAGAAAAGTTGCCCCTGAGAGGATGATTCAAAAAGAATTGAGAGGGGGAGAAAGGGGGGGGGGGTTGGTAGAAGGAAAGGGGAGGGGTGGGGGGTGATTCAGTCGTGACTCTGGCTTTCGAAAAAATGTCACGACTACAGAAATCCATGATAATGTGTGCATGCACACGCATGTTCTGAAAAGACCCTCAGTGCATATACTATCTGCAGATGCACAGGTTTGTCACACACACAAAGGCACAAAAACATCCTATACACACACACACACACACACACACACACACACACACACACACACACACACACATTGCTTAGTCATAGCACTAAGGCAATGAGACAGTGTTAATGCCGGAGGGATAGGGTGGGGGAGGAGAAAGGGCTGCAGAGTGATGGTGATGAAAAGAGGGAAGAAATGCAAGAAAAAGAGTGAAGAAAAATGGATGGGGCAGGCAGGAACGTTAAGGAGATAAGAGGGGCAGATTGAAGCAGAAAAAGGAAATAAACATCATGACTGTGAAGGAGACACACCAATTTTCCATTACAATCTTTGAACAACTATCCGTTTTTTTTCTGAACAAACATTGTTTTCATTTAGAGTCAGATTTAAAGTTCTGATCTGTACTGCAGTGAAAAAGAAAATGTATCAATTATTTCTTTGTTCCACTGCCAGCCAGAAAGTGATTGTAACAATGTAGGGGAATGAGAGGTATTTTGAGTTATTCAAAGATAGAGAGGAGAAAAACTCAGATGAAAGAACACAGGATGATGGAAGGGGAAAAGGAAGAGGGAGGGGATGAGAAGGAAGAATGGAGAAAGGTCCCAGCGGGGTGTTAAGGCAATGTAATGAAGCTGGTAATTGAGGAGAGGGCAGAGCAGAGAGGGACTGGTCCATACATTTGATTAATCAGCTCTTAGCTGTCACCACAGAGCTATTGATCTAAGGCAAGGCCAGCACACACACACACACACAGTACGAGGTGCAAACCCACACCGATAAAATCAGGTCTGCACAAACACACACGAACGCACAGGTTCTGCAGAGGAAGGAGTGATGTACATTTTTAACAACACATCTTTAATGACTTGAGCTGTTGCATAAACACAAACTTACAAATAATAAACCCACTGCCCTTTTTATAATGTCCTCCCATCCATTCATCCACTCATCCATCCATCCACTCATCCATCCACCCATCCATCCATCCATCATATCTCAGCCCTGGGGCTAATGCTGTCCATCCATGTGGCCATCCATCTTGCGCTATCAACTCATCGATCAGTCCCATCTTGTTCATTGATTTGGGGCTGTGTTGTAGCGCAGGCTGATTGTAGCGAGATTTGTGTCCACTAACCCTTTCTCAATCCTTCCATCCATCCATCACCTCTTCCATTTCTCCTCTCATTAGGCCTATTCAAGCTCACCCCTGTGATGGTAAAACAGGCTGAGCAGAGGCATCTAATGATTGCCAACTACGGCTTATCAATCCAAGCTTATCAGTTTGTTTCTAAGAATGTGTGTGTGTGTATGTGTGTGTTTGTGTATGTGTATGTGCCAAGTTTTATAAAATTCCTGTAATGTAATAAAGATGGATGAAGATGGTTTAAAAACAGCAGAGAATCTGAACACAAGACAGCAGGTGAGAGGTGCACACTGCCACAGCAAAGACAACACAATGGCATCGGAAAAATGGCATGGCAACCAGCTCGTTGTCATGGCGATCATATGACGGCACACTGGGTAGGTAAACAAGGATGCTTGTTGCCGAGGGCAACTGCATTGCTCTTCGGGTAAACAAAGAATTTATGTTGAAGGAGTGCTTTGCTGGCTGCATGATTTCCTCTTCATTATTTTTTCCTATAACGAACTTTATCTTGAGGGACAAATTAGTAAAAATGTAAGAGAACCAAAAAAACAGGACAGAAAACGTACGAGAATAAGATGTGGGAAGGGAGAAATAAATGTGATTTGGCTCAGAGCGAAGAGATAGAGGGGGAGAAGGTGAGGGAGCTGAATCTATATTACAGTAGAGTAATTAAAATTCCCTTGAGCCTGAGAGAAAAATGCAAATAAAGTACAGTCACTGCTAGTCAGTCACACTGTACTCCACTCTTTCGCTCTTCGTCTTAACTCCAGCACACATGAACAGCCACACGCTCCTTTCAAGTCAAATTATCCTCTAATTACTCACGTTCCAATTAAGACTTAATCAACAGTAACCATCTGCAAACGTGCGCTCGTACAAGGAGCAGGATTCATACTGTAGTGAGGTTTGATCTGTCCTGCTGCATGCTAAGAAGCCCTCACTGAGAGTTTGTGTATCTCTGAGGACCAAGGATTCGTATGTGAGCAGCAGCAGTGTGGCAATGCATGAGGGCCAGATATGTGATATATGATCATGTGTGTGTCTGAATAACTACAGCCACTCTGCTGAGGCACATCCACTCATACTGACGCCTGACCAAACCCTGCATGCAAACAAAGCTCCATTTGCATGCTGTGGTTCCAACACAGATACAGTACATGTCACTCACATACAAACACACACAGAATTCCCCACACTTTTCTTCACTCCCGGAGCACCTTGCCCGCCCTTTTCACGCACACAGAAACAAACACATACTACACACACACAGTTAATCTTACTCCCTGCAGTAAAGCAGAGAGGATTGTGCCAGGATTAGGGGATATTAAATCCTTGGATTATCCAATCAAATCGTATTCTCCCCCCTCCCCCACCTACACAAAATCAGTGGAACAAACCATTGCGCCACATTATGAGGGTAGGGGGAAGTGTGCGTATGTCAGTGCGTGTGTACGTGCACAATCCGGAACAAGGATTAAAGTACAGTGCTAAATCAATGTTATCTTTTTGGTCTTTTGATCCCTTTTTGATGACATCAAAACACTGGAGGGAAAAACTCACAAATGTTCACGCAAACCGAAATCTAAAAGTGATTACAGCGTGACAACAGACAATGGTGTGTTATTGTGTGTGTATGTACAGTCACACAAATACTCTCTCTTCTTATCGCTTTTCCAAACACACACACACACACACACACACACACACACACACACACCTTCCCCCCTTCAATCTCCCTCTGGAGTACTCCATCCACACAATTTCAGATGTCCATTTTCCAGCATGCATAAGAGGAGAAAACTATTTATATCCCTTCTCCAGCATCAAACACTATTTTTTCCCTCTTTCTCTCCCCCATCCTCAATTCAACCTCTTTTAACTCTCAACTTCATAATCCCCCCCCCCTCTTCCTGATGATGACATGAGCCTCTCTTCTTTATCTTTTTCCATCCGTTCCCTCCTCTCTTTTATTCACTTATTTTTTTCGAGTCTCTTCTACTCTACGTCTCATATTTTCCTCGGTCATTGCTGCAGTTACAAATTCATATTTGTTAGTATAGTGAACAAAAAATATCTTAACAGCAGTTCTGATGCTATTAGTACTACTATTGACCGTTTAATTTGAAAGAGGCATAATACTGCTTCAGAACTGACTTTTGATGCAGATTAATACAAATTCATTGTTAAAATTATAAATAGAAAGATGTCTATTGTTTCCATTCCATTACTAAAACCCTCTTGTGTAAATGTCAAACGGCTGTATGACATTTAGACCAGAGCAATACTTTGAATAACAATATTAAAATATATTTGATTGAATAGCTGTGATGTTGACGTCATGACGTTTTTATATTCATGCTATGACTGCTGTTGTTTTCAGAAGACAATTTTGGCAAACAATCAAATGTGGTATGGATATGATCATCTT